TCCACCTTAAAACCCTAGCTAGCCTCATGTATAAATAGAGCCCTTGGCTCTTGAATTCGACCAAGCCCTTGGGAAAACCCTAGAAGAGCTGATTTTTGGATCTAGTCACTCTCTCTCCTCTATCTCATAATCATCCTCTTGCCCTAGTGTGTTTGTGATCCATTAGAGGCAATACACCCGTGGTACTTGTTCTCAAGAGCAAAGGATCTTCAAGAATTGGTTGTTATTACTATATAGCAACAAAGGTATGTAATCTAATATTTGTTGATTTCGATTATTCGATGCATATTAGGGTTTTCTATTTGTGTTCAATAGTTGTATGTCTAATAGAGAAAACATAGCTCCAAACTAGGGTTGCATGCACACAAATGATTATTTGTGTAAAACACATCAAGGCGAGGCCTTAGGAATAGAACAATAGTACTGTGTATGATTCTTTATTTGCTAGCATGATTATATGATATTGGTTGTATGTGTATAGCGGGCGGGGTTCACTGACAGGCGAGGCTTGGTAAAAACAGATTTGTATACCGAGCGGGGCTTGATGCCAGGCGGGGCCTGATGCCGGACATTGTCTGATGCCGGGCGGGGCCCGATGAAGGGGCGGGGGCCCAGTATATGTGTTTATGTGTATAGTATGATGTAGTTTAGGGAGACTCACTAAGCTTCGTGCTTACGGTTTTCAGTTTTTGTTTCAGGTACTTCCAGTTGCAAGGAGAAGAGCTCGAGATGAATGCATTGCACACACCACGATGTTTTAGCCTGGGATGTTTTTACTCTGATATATTGATATGAGTTTTGATGTGATACTCTGATTTGATACTATTACTTATGTGTTTGGATGAAATGATTTTGATAGTTATAGTTATTATAATAAATAAAAATGAAATTTTTGGTCATGATTTTTGGGATGTTACAGACGTAGTGGCTGAAGAACCTTCTTGGAGACTGGAGCAATCAAATTTGAAAGACCTATCAGCTATAGAAACAACGAGTAACTTCTCTATCTTCTCTTCGATATCCTCGACAACGGGAATGAGCTCTTCAAACTTGAAAGCTGCAAAACATCAAACAAAATAATGATATGTGAATTACTGGATCCTCAGTACAGGAATAAATTATTCCTACCCTTTTTAACCCAGGTCTTCGCTAGGGAATCCCCACCAAGGATCGAATCACATCTCACAAAAAAGTATTTTTCCTTCCAAGCTCCTTCATTGTGTTTTGTTTTCAGAATGAGAGGGGACTTGTGGGATTTGAGTCTGAGAAGAAAACGAGAGCTTCCAAAGGTAGTAAGATCATACACATGAGCCAACTCAGCTAAACCTATGTTTAGGTCTTTAGACTGGTTCAATCTGTCGATCCAGAACAAGATCCTCCAAATAATAGGCATGGCTTGGATGTAGGAGATTTTAGCAACCTCAAAGAACTTGGAGATGATTCCAGAAAAAGGGTACTTCAAACCCAAAGTAAAGGGGTATTCGGGGAAGCAGACCCAAGAGGAGGAAACAAAATCTTGTTGATATTTCGGGTTGAAAGGTTTGAAAACAACATCATCGGAGAAAGCATCGGTTGATTTCAACGACTCGATATCATCCTCATCAGAAGAACAGATCTCATCATGCGACATGATCTTTTGATCGATAAAATCATCCTCAGGAGGAGCGAGAATGTTCTTTTGAGATATGGTCATTTTCTTGCCCATGGTCAATGAAAAGAAAACTAATGAGAAGAAGTGAGAAGTGTACCTTCGAAGATGACTGGTAAACCCTTGGATGAAAGCTAAAAGAAGCGGGGAAGAATAGCTCTTATCGATTGCCTCTATTTATGTTGATGGCAAAAGAAAGAGAAAGGTCGATTTGACCGGTTAATGATGGTTATTGAACGGATAAATTCTATTTGTTAGGGTTTAAAATTCAAATCCCTTATCACTTTTATTTCTTTTTTACTTTTATTTTAAAAATTATCCCTTTAAATATTGGCGAACTAACTCCAAAATATTTCGCATGAATAAATTGGGGGGCAATTGTTAGGGTCAGGATCCCAAAATTACATTTAGGATACTCAAAGCTCAGGATCCTTAAATAAACTTCAGGATCCTGATTGTTATCATTTATTTTCCTAACATATATAATGGTTATATGCTTCTTTATTTTTCTCACATGTGCAGAAATAGTTAGCTAAAGACTTATTCTCGACGAAGAATCATCTTGACCATGCAAAAGACCCGGGATACCAAGTCAAATAACGTCTATAAGCTAATCTCGGAGTATTCCGGAATTATCGGACTTCTTGTTATTTGCTTTAGACTATAAATAACACTTGTATTACACACACAACACACACGATTAACTCATCTACAATACTTGTACTTGCTTTTCACACATTCATCTCTATAATCGACATTTTCAATCAATAAAATTATCAAGACAGGTAATCATTATCACCTCCCAAGGTTTTGTGCCGGGGATCCTAGCAAGGATCAAGGGTTTTCCTTGTAAACCAATTGTGTCAATTTGATCATCATTTTATACTTGTTTTATTCTGAACATCACAGCCACTCATATAGTTGATTGATTCTTGCTTGTTCATTTTTTGACCAAAACAAAAAAATATATTTATTTGTATTAAGTAGGTATAAATATATATGTATTTCGTATAAAAATATATTGTATACATATAAATATAAAAATATGTATTTGTGCATATTACTAAGTATAAATATGTATTCATT